ATAAAACTATTGTTTCCAAGATGCAAGTACTTGAGTTGCTTAAGTTTTCGCAATGAGAAAGGGAATTGACCACCGAACTGGTTACCTGCAAGGCCCAACTCAATGAGTTGAGTGAGGTTACCAAGTAGATCCAGGTTCGAGCCAACAAAATTGCACCCACTAAGATACATCTTCTCCACGGACTTCAGATGACTGATCGAATCTGGTTCCAAATGAATTGAGATCCGCGTATATGACAGATCCAAATGCGAAAGAGCATTGCTCAAATTGTATGGCGGAAAAGAGCCAGTAAGTTCTTCGTTGCTCCATAAATCGAGCCACTGAAGGTTTGATCGGCGAAATAAATTATCAGGGAGTTCCCCTTTCAATCCACAACGCCATAGTTGGAGAGTTGACAAAGAAGAAGACAAGTTCATCAAGGAACTGGGTACCACCAAAGACATGTTCACTCCACCCAAGTAGAGTTCGCTCAGCTGGGTAAGGTTCTGAGCAAGCTTGTTGAAAGAAATCGGTTCTAGCATCAGCTCCTCAGAGTTGGAAGAGAGATCAAGTGACACCAATCTGGATAAATGGGAGATTTTTGGGGGAACTTGGCCTGCAAAATTCGATGAATTTAGATTTAAATGCGTCAAACGCAAGAACTGACCAAAGGAAGATGAAATGACAGAGCGATTGAAGTCATTGCGATAGAGATCAAGCTTCTGAAGATGATGAAGGGAGAAGAGAGTGCTGTTAGAATGGAGGGTGCCATAAAGCATGCTGCAACCAAGGTCTAGGCCAATTACATGGCCAGTTTTCATGTTGCATGTCACGCCATCCCAAGAGCAGCAATCTGTACCCTCTTTCCACAGCACTTTCTTGGGTGGATAACATGAAAATCTATATGGAGAAGAAGGCATGGGAAAGGAATTTTTGAATTGGAGCAAAGCCAGGCTCTGGTCACCGGGGCATAATTGTACTGAGGAGGAGATATTGGAAGAAGAATGAGTAGGTTGGGAGTGCGAATGGAAGAGAAGGAGGCAGATAAATTGAGCGAGCAGCAATGAAGATCCCATCATTCCCTAGAAGTGCTCTTCTTAGAGATTAAAATGCGGAAGTAAACTTAGATTGATGAGAGACTTCTATTAGAATGTAGTCTATATATATAGACTTCCGGAATGCATGCTTTCCCTAATATTTAAATAATCAATTTTATATGTACTAATATTTGCACTCAATTTCTCCTAATAAATATTAATATTATAGCATTGTAAAGGGATCTTTGATTTTTAATCTGTTTCGATTTTATAAACTCTGTATTTTTTTCTTTTTCTAATCAAAACTTTCTCTTGAAGTTTTCACATTGTCGAGTAGTACAACTTTTAAATTTTTACTCTTTTATTTGATAAAGTGTTTGGAAATATGTTTGAATTATAATTCAGAAAATTTTAAATTTTTTTGAATTGTTTTTTTTTTAATTTTAAAATTGTTTTTTTTTTTATTTTAATTTTTTTTATTTGTGTTTATATCAAAAACAAAAGAAGAAAATGCAATGAAGGCATGGAAAATAAGGAGGATGGAATTGTTCCATTGAGCAAGTTATGGGACAAGTCGACAATGATTAAACTTGAAAGCCTACTTATTTGTGATGGGATGCGTCCTATCAGTTGATTATTAGATAAAAGTAGTGCGGTTAGATTTGAAAGCATGCTTATTTGAAATGGGATCAGACCTATTAGTCTATTGTACGAGAGGTCCAACCATTCAAGCTGTGTGAGTTTAAACAAACTATCCGGAATTGGACCCATAAAACTATTGTTTCCAAGATGCAAGTACTTGAGTTGCTTAAGTTTTCCCAGGGAGAAAGGGATTTGACCACCAAACTGGTTACCTGCAAGTCCCAACTCAATGAGTTGAGTGAGGTTACCAAGTAGATCCAGGTTCGAGCCAACAAAATTGCACCCACTAAGATACATCTTCTCCACGGACTTCAGATGACTGATCGAATCTGGTTCCAAATGAATTGAGATCCGCGTATATGACAGATCCAAATGCGAAAGAGCAGTGCTCAAATTGTATTTCGGAAAAGAGCCAGTCAGTCCCTCGTTGCTCCATAAATCGAGCCATTGAAGGTTTGATCGGCGAAATAAATTATCAGGGAGTTCCCCTTTCAATCCACAACGCCAGAGTTGGAGAGATGACAAAGAAGAAGACAAGTTCATCAAGGAACTGGGTACCACCAAAGACATGTTCACTCCACCCAAGTAGAGTTCTCTCAGCTGGGTCAGGTTCTGAGCAAGCTTGTTGAAAGAAATCGGTTCCAGCATCAGCTCCTCAGAGTTGGAAGAGAGACCAAGGGACACCAATCTGGATAGATGGGAGATTTCTGGGGGAACTTGGCCTGCAAAATTCGATGAATTTAGATTTAAATGCGTCAAATGCAAGAACCGACCAAAGGATGATGAAATGACAGAGCGATTGAAGTCATTGCGAGAGAGATCGAGCTTCTGAAGATGATGAAGGGAGAAGAGAGTGCTGTTAGAATGGAGGGTGCCATAAAGCATGCTGCAACCAAGGTCTAGGCCAATTACATGGCCAGTTTTCATGTTGCATGTCACGCCATCCCAAGAGCAGCAATCTGTACCCTCTTTCCACAGCACTTTCTTGGGTGGATAACATGAAAATCTATATGGAGAAGAAGGCATGGGAAAGGAATTTTTGAATTGGAGCAAAGCCAGGCTCTGGTCACCGGGGCATAATTGTACTGAGGAGGAGATATTGGAAGAAGAATGAGTAGGTTGGGAGTGCGAATGGAAGAGAAGGAGGCAGATAAATTGAGCGAGCAGCAATGAAGATCCCATCATTCCCTAGAAGTGCTCTTCTTAGAGATTAAAATGCGGAAGTAAACTTAGATTGATGAGAGACTTCTATTAGAATGTAGTCTATATATATAGACTTCCGGAATGCATATAGTCTATATATATAGACTTCCGGAATGCATGCTTTCCCTAATATTTAAATAATCAATTTTATATGTACTAATATTTGCACTCAATTTCTCCTAATAAATATTAATATTATAGCATTGTAAAGGTATCTTTGATTTTTAATCTGTTTCGATTTTATAAACTCTGTATTTTTTTCTTTTTCTAATCAAAACTTTCTCTTGAAGTTTTCACATTGTCGAGTAGTACAACTTTTAAATTTTTACTCTTTTATTTGATAAAGTGTTTGGAAATATGTTTGAATTATAATTCAGAAAATTTTAAATTTTTTTGAATTGTTTTTTTTTTTAATTTTAAAATTGTTTTTTTTTTAATTTTAATTTTTTTAATATGTGTTAATATCAAAAATAAATTTTAAAAAATAACTAAACATTATTTTAATATATTTTTAAATTAAAAATTTTAAAAATAATATTTATCATATTTTTAAAGGATTTCTCACATGTCATTCATCTGGATTTTACTTGTAATATTTTTTTTTTAACTATATCATTTATTTTAATTGATGATTGAATATTTTAACTAGTAACAATGCTCAAGCAGAGTTTGCTTTTGTGGTACCATTGTGTTAGAAAAACAAAATTTGTTAAAAAAAAAATTATTTTACTTTTTGAATTATTTTAATATATTAATATTAAAATATTTTAAAAAATAATTATCACTGCAATATTAAACAATACTATAATTTTTAATATTTTAAATAATCTACTTGCTAATTATTTTACTTATTCACACACGATCATTTTATCACGTTTATCAGCAGACCAGTCAGCATCGAGGCTCGTCGGGTCAAGTTTCCAAGCGTAAAGCAACAAATTATAATATTTGGAATGAAGAAAAAAATAACTTTTTTTATAAAACAAACAAGACTTGGTGCATCTAATTTCCAGGATGGGCCGCCTCAATTATGATGACTTTAAAACGTTTTGACATTATTCTAATCCAAGTAGATATTTAGTTGGTTATTAGGAGCATTCTAATCCAAGTTGAAATACGATCCACGCAACCACTTGTTATTAGTTGGTTTCCATGTTAATAAATAGTTTTCATACATACATACAACTATATATATATATATATATATATATAATTTTTAATTTAAATATTATAGGTTTAATTATTACTATTACATCATGAAATAAATAATAATTATATTAAATATTTTTTATTATTACATTAAATTATCTATAATTTTATCATGTACAAAATTTATTTAACAAGAACTATAGTTTTCTTAGTTTCTTAAAAGCGTAATAATATAAGATAAAATATCATTAAGAACAAAATTTAAATTGCGATTAAATTCTGTAAATGTTACATGATCAAGCGATCTTCTTCTAATTTTTTGAATAAAACACAATTAAAAATAAAAATAAAAATTGAATTTTTTTAACTAAGTCAGACTTGATTCAGTACATTTAACTTGGTTTTTTAAAGTTTTGTGATTTCAACATCCGTGTTTTGATTTACTAACGGATTTTACCAGTTTTTATAAGTAATTCTATCTTTTTAAATTTTAAAATTTAAATGTTAATTTTATTGTTTTTTTAATATATGTATTTTGTTAGTATATGTACATGTTTTATTGTTATTTCTCAAACAAACTTGTAATATATGAATGTATAATTTTATACTTATTATGATTGTTTTAGATTTTATAAAAATGTATTTGTTTGTAAATTGTTGAAACTTTATTGAATTACCGAATTACATGTGTTGTTTTGAAATAATTAATAGCTTATTTAACAGGTCTATTTTAATTTTTATCAATGGTACTACGAACTTGTAATTTTCATAAATTTATATGTATTAATTTGTATGGATGTTGATAATTGATAATAAATATTTAATATTTATGAGAAGTTGTAATTGTTTTGTTGGATAATCTAGAGGTAAACCAATATTTCTGTAAATTTATTTATCTAACATAGTTAATTAATATACATGTTGTCATCATAATTTCATAGAGGTTTGCTAGAAGTCATAGATGATCGTTCATGGATGTATCGAGATTCACCCCAAGGATTGCAGAGGATGGATTATTGTAACGATGTTTAAGGTTTTATTAATTTCACAACATTTATTCCTAGAAATTTTACTAGAGGCAATATTAGGTGTCCATGCAAAAAGTGTCAAAATAAAAAAGTATCTGTATCCAAATATTGTAATGATACATCTTTTAGACGAAGGGTTTATGGAAAATTACTGGTGTTGGTTTGCACACGGAGAAGTATTTGTTAGTAAGAAGAGAATGGGAGAAATGATGGCTAAGTCAACTGTAAGTGTTAGCAACGTGCATAAAGCAGCAAATGACAACACTAATCCTTACAAAAATATAGTTATGGATGCAATGAGAATGAATTAAGGTAATGTTAGTCAATGTCCAATTGTAGAAGAAGAATCTAATGCAGATGGAGCTAGATTTTTTAATTTGTTGAAAGATTTTGACAAACCATTATGGAATGGCTGCACAGACCACAGTAAATTATTAGTTGTAGCACAGGTGTTCACTATCAAGTCAAATCATGGGTTGAGTGAGGCTGGATATGATAAAATTATTGAATAGGGATAAGCATTTTACTTGAAGGGAACATGTTGATAGAGAACTTCCACGTTGCGAAGTCCATGATGAAACCCCTTAATTAAGGATACTAAAAAATTGGCATGTGCCTTGACTTTTAGATATTATACTACCTTGAAAATTCTAAGTTGACCAAGTGCATGACATGAGAATATTCCCGTTACAAACCCAGAACTGGTGGGGGAAAAACTCTAGTGACATAAAAAAAGTTAGATACTTCCTAATAACACCTAAACTGTAGAGGTTATTCATGTTACCAAGGACTGCTGAGCACATGATATGACACCAATTACATGATGCGGTTGATGGAGTAATGGTTCATCCTTCTGACGACGAAGCATTGAAACACTTCAATAATGTGCATCCTTATCCTCACTTTTCAGTTGAATCAAGGAACATGCGTCTTGAGTTGTGTACAAATGGATTCAACCCATTTGGGTCATTTGCTGCTCTTTATTCTTGTCAGTCGGTCATACTCACAGTTTATAACTTGCTACCAGGAATGTGTATGAGGTTGGAGTTCGTGTTTTTATCTATTATCATACCCGGTCCAAATAGTCCAAGCTAGAATATAAATGTTTGTCTTCGACTGTTGATTGATGAATTGGTGTAGTTGTGGTCCTCCTGAGTTTTGACTTATGATATATCGAGGAAACAAAATTATCTTATAAGGGTAGCTTTGTTGTGGACTATCAATGATTTTTCAGCTTATAGAATGCTTTTTGGTTGAAACATACATGAGAAACTAGTATGTTCATACTGTATGGAAAACAACAAGGCATTTATGCTAACAAACAAAGGTAAAGCTTTTTTTTTATTATTGTCACTATCATTTCTTGCCACATAATTAGAGGTGCAGAAAGAACAAAAAAGCTTTTTTTATTGGCAGAGTTAAAAAGGATGTTGCATCCCTATTTTTTTCTGGTGAAGAAATGCATGATGTTGTATCAGAGTACGGTGACATTGTATTTGGTCTTCAATTAGGTAAGCAAGAGTTTCTCGGTTTTGGTTTTACTCATAATTGAGTAAAAAGAAGTATATTTTAGGAGATTTCTTATTGGAAAACTAATCTACCTCGCTATAACCTTGACATCATACACATTAAAAAGAATGTGTTTGAAAACATTTTCAACACTTTCATGGATGTGAAAGGAAAGACAAAGGACAACATCAAAGCTAAATTAGATATAGCTTTGTTCTGTAACCTTAAAAATGTAAAGTTGGTTTGTGATGAGTCACGGGTTGCAAAATCAAAAGCAAGTTTTGTGTTAGAGAAAAATGCATAACTACTAGTCCACAAATGACTTAAGAGTCTGTGTTTTCCAGATGGATATGTCTCAAATATATAAAGGTTGGTTAATATAAAGAAATGTAGATTGTATGGAATGAAGAGTCATGACCGCCATGTGTTTATACAAACACTCCTCCCATTAGTTTTTCATGATTTGTTGTTAAAGGGGATATGAGATGCACTCAAGGAGATCAATCATTTCTTTGGAGATATATGTTCCAGCAAGTTGAATGTTGATCACATTGAGAGGCTTGAAACGAATATCATTGAGACAATATGTAAACTTGAGATAATATTCTCTTTATTTTTTTTTGACTTAATGGAGCATCTCCTCATATATCTATTATTCAGGGCAAAAGTTGGAGGATTAGTCCAATATAGATGGATGTACCCATTCAAACAATTAGATATTATAGTTGCAATGTAATTCATATATAAAAGTATTTTCTTTGTTTTTCTTAATTACAAATATTTGATTAATTCAATATAGGTACTTGTTCAATCTCAAGAACAAGGTTGAGAACAAGGCGCATGTTAAGGCTTTGATATGTGAGGCCTATATTATTGAGGAGATCTCAACATTTATCTCATAATATTTTAAATCTCAACTGAGAACGAGAATCAATCGAGTTCCATGACATGGTGATGAGGGTGAAGTGCCTTCTAATAGAAACTTGTTAATATTCTCAAATCATAGACAACCCACACTTAGCAATGTAAGATGAAGATATTTGTTGGAAATAGAGTTTAAACAAACACATAATTAGGTTCTGTTTAACTGTGATAAGCTGAGACATTTTATTTAATAAGTATATATAATACTAATTAAACTTTGTCAATAATATACTGTTAATTATATCTTGTAATATTATACACTCATTATCACTTGCAGGTAACATCGACAATATTTGCTGTCCAATAACTTATAGTTTACCAAATCCCAAATCTTTCAATTATAAGATGAAGAATTTGTCATGTATTTTAGAACATATGTAAGTGCTATCACAAACTCATTCTCATTTATAAAATTATTTTATGCGTATCATTACAAGATTCTCCATTAGTGTTCATTGATGTA